GGGAATGGGGGGTGGGCTGGGGGGAAGGGGAGGGGGGGCAGGAAGGGGGAGAACAAGGGAATCTGTGGCTGTTATATAGAACTGAATAGTATTGTAAAATAAATAAATTAATTAATTAATTAAAAAAAAAAGAGTAGGCCTCTTCTAAAAGTCATCACCAAGGCAAATCTGCCAGTACTGAAGACCAAAGGGAAATTATTCATGTCCAAATTTCACAGAATAAATATACTTATATGCACTTGTTTAATTTAGATCTTGAACATCCCCTGAAGCATGTGTGTTGAAAACTTGGTCTCCATCCTGTTGTGTTGGAAAAGATGGGAGTTGGAATCTCGTAGAAGGATGTTTAGTGGATGAGTGGGTACTTGAATAGGACATTAGGACTCCGAATTCTTCCCATTTCTCTTTTCCTTTTCAAGATCTGTTCTCATTATTCTTAATTGTGTGTGTGTGTGTGTGTGTGTGTGTGTGTGTGTGTGTGTGTGTGTGTGCGCGCGCGCGCGTGCGCGTACGCACATGTATATCTGCAGGTGCCCACATAGCCCAGTGGATTCCCTGGAGCCAGAGCTATAGGCAGCTAGCTGTGAGCTGCCCAACATGGATGCTGAACACTAACATCAGTTCTGTGCAAGGACAAATGCACTCTCCAACACTGAGCTATCTCTACAGCCCCCTATTCCTCTCCATTGCTTCCTAGCTGCTATGATATAAGCAGCTTCTGCCATGTGCTCCCAACATGATATATTACCTCACTACAGGTTCAACAGCACTGGGGCCCATTGGCCATAAATGGGATCCTTTGAAACAATGAAGGAAAACGAATCTTTTCTTTTTGTAAGTTGGCATCTCAAGTGTTTTGTCATAGTGATGGAAAACTGACTAGTTAATATTGTTTGTTGCCTTTTGGAGGGCAAATACACGTTAGGTTCAACAGATCACATAAAAGCTTGGAAGGAGTCATCACTTCCTTCTTTGAAAATAGAAACAGACGCAGCCTCAGATAGAGAGGATTTCTGTGCCTGCTTTATGGACTCCCTAAGCTGGGGCAATGTCGGTGTATCACAACTCAGTAAATACCTGTGGGATGAATGGATTGCTGTAGAGCTGTAAGTGGCTGGGGCTATGGTCACATGGTAGAGCCACTGCCTGCAGCTGTGAGTGAAGGACTTCTTACCAGCTCCTTGATAACAAGTGCAATCTAAAGGTGCCAGCATGTGTGTTACGCAGCTCTCCCAAGGTGCCCTCCCTCCCCCACCCCCACCCTGATAAGTCTCTGGCTGGTTTCCCTCCTCTTCTTTCCTTTATCTCCCCTTTCTTCCACCAATCTTCTACGTTCTCTAGGCTACACTTTCTTAGTCTTCTGAGACCTTCAGGATTCTGCCTGGCTTATTAGTTAACACTCGCTTTATAAGAACAGGTTAAGGTAGAAAAGAGTGGGACATGGGGGCTATATTGTTCTCATTCGGGAGTGTCTTTCTTTCCCACTAAGAGTGGAGACAACACTGTGGAGTGATCTCCTACCCCCCCCTCCCCACCCCCAGAATATGGAGGGGCTTGTACCAAGAAGATAATAATGGCAGCCTCTGATGGTTCTTAGGAAAAGGAAGCTTGTGATCGACCTGAACCATAACATCATCTGTGAAGCTCCTCCCTGGCAACTTCGTCCCTTCTGTGGGAACCACGCTGACCAATTCATGTCTCTGAAATCCTGAAGCAAATAAGAAAGGATCAGTCCAGAAGTGCACCACAATAGACAGAATGAATACTCTTTGAATCTGGCTGTGAAGACCCCATCTGTGCCATACAGCGCTTAGAAACAGCCTCACCCAGCGCCTTTGTGTATGGCGTGTGGGATGTAATGGCTCCGTTTTGCTGGAAGAGACCCTGGCAGCTTGTACCTCTGCTCTCTGAAGCCTACAGTGTTCTGAAACTGCCTTACAGGAGATTGGCTCAGGGAAGGTTGATGGGTCGATGGCAAAATGTTTAAGAGTCATGGGCATTAAGAAAATATAAAAAAAACAAACAAACAAAAAAAAACAAAAACAAAAAACACAAGGCTGGTAATTCTGAGATATTGAACCATTCAAGTGGATTTCTACAGAAGCAGTTTGGTTAGTAATGTCAAATAGGCACTTTTAAAGAAGAATTCACAGGGAAAATCATTATGCAAATAAGCAATGATCCCTGTTACCATTTGAGACAATCTAGGCCTCATGGTATGATGTACCCCTCCTGTTTTAATCTACCCAGTTCCCCAGTGCCCTTGGTTTTCAGAGAAGCCCCTCCATGTTGACTTCCTTTCAAATCCCCAAGTGCAACTTTGTAAGGCCAAGGAGTTGGTGCCCTGGAAGACCCAGCCAGTTGCTAAAGGACTCATTAATGAGCCAAACGCCATCAGAATGTAAATGTCCCAGTGCACATCTGCCTGGAAGGCTTTGGGATGGTCCACGGGAACTCTCCAGTTGATCTTCAGACCTCCAGAAAAGGCTCCGTGTGCCACAGTCTTCTGTTGACTGTCACCTTTTAAGAAGGTACTGTTCTACACCGGACGATTTTCCTTTGCACTGCCCCCAGCCCCCTGCTTCCCACTTTCTCCATCACCAGCATGGCGCTGCTTGGCTCTCGCTTTCCTGACTTGGTGCTTCAGTGTCTCTTCAGCGAGGGTGTTTCTTTTGCCTTGCATCTACCCCTGCAGTTGCTGTCTTATGACGTTAATTCCACAAGGACAGACAGGACTTTGAGCCTTTCCCCTGCTGTGGACCTGGACCTCAGACCTCCGCTGTCAACATCTTCACCTTCTCTAAAATTCTCACCTCAAGACCTTTCAGTAACCACAAAAGAGGAGCTTTCTTCATCTTTTTAGTGGCATTGTTCTCCACCCAGAAGTTTACCAGCAGCGCCTGTCCGATCATTCTACTGATCCAAGATGCCAGTCCCATACTGCTTTAAATTTTAATTCGTTAATTGAGTGTGTGTGTGTTATATAGGTAAGTGTGTGTATCATGTGTAGGTGTGTGTATAAGAGAGTTGTATGTCATGTGTGTGTTATATATAGGTATGTGTGTGTGTGTGTCATGTGTAGGTGTATGTAAGAAATTTGTGTCATGTGTAAGTATGTGTATAAGAGTTGTATATCATGCGTGTGTGTGTATGTGTATGTGTGTGTGTGTGTGTGTGTGTGTGTGTGTGAGAGAGAGAGA